TGTTGCTATTTCAGACAAACCATGGCGCTCTCACGCCACACATCAAATAAACCATAAATACCATTTTGTGGCTCTTTCATGTGTCGTGACGGATCACTGTAGCACCTCAGTTCAAACGGCACGTGAACCGACTGTCTCTTCATATTTACTATTATTTATAGCACAAAATAAACATGAATGAACATCAGAAGGTTTGTTGTTTCAACCATGGAAAGACGTCGATACACAGTCCACAGATGTTGATCTACTCTCTTGCCGGACAAAATGACGGATTCAGCTTATGATGGATCAGATCGCCTGTCAATCAAACTCCTGGCGAAGGGTTAATTAAATGTGAAATTTTAAAGTATAAAGACTGAAATGGTATTTCAGTATATGTACTCAAACAACCTTTTAAAAAAATCATTTTTACAGTGTAATAATACCATATTTTACAGAATGCCATGGTATTACCATGGTATATGTCCAAAAAACATAGCACTATGAACAAACACCACAATATACCATGGTAATTTTGTGAACGTCAAACTTTGAATAACATCAGATACAATCCAGAGTAAGGATTGAAGTAATACCACAATATTTTCATATATACCATGGTATTTACATGGTACGTCTAAGAAGACCATTGTAGTACCATGGTACAAGTAGAAAAAAACATGGTAATACCGTGGTAATGTTTGGGACTATGTTTGGTAAGCATCTTAATTAATTAAACATCCACCTGTTAATAATTCAACTTAAAAACTTAAGTTCAGTTGCTGCCTTAAATTTTTAAGAATAATCTGAATTTATTTCCACTCATTTCCATTTTTAGTTCATGTAAATGATACTAAATTGAGAAATTTTTTAAAGTTAAATCTCAAATAACTTACAAATATGAAACTAAAATGGGGGTAAAAGTAATGGGGGGAAAAACATGATCATATAATTTTTTCACAATCAAGGATTTTTGAAGCACAATGATATTTGAATATGGTAATCATTCCGTACCATGTTATTACCGTCACTCTACCGCGGTAGGCTACATGACGAAAAGAAGGTCTGTTAGTCATAATTGCGAATACAAAGACAAATAACAATTATCAAGGTAATTTGGATTTGATACTTCATTCAGCACAATTTCGGGGTAGTTGATCACGAGCCGTCGCGCTGCGTGGAGTCGCCATGGCAACTGTATTAAGACAGACAGGAAGTGAATGTGAACACGCTAATTAAATGAAATAAACGGTACAACCCAGTGTGTTCATAATTAACCCATTTAACCCCACCGCTCACAGTAGTAACCGTAAAGTTTTTTTCATTTATAAAGCTCTAAAAATGTTACTGGCTGGTGCTTTGGTGCATTTCCTGCAAACATGGAACAAATAAAGGGTCTCAATAAAATATGTGCAGTGTCACAATGATTGTCACATGACCAGAGCAGTGTACTTCCTGTTTGCACCATGAGAAGATGATGGCTGCATCAAAGCTCCAATCCAAAAGGCTAGTCAAATATGTTAAGCTCACATACACACACACACACTGACTCTCTCTCCCTCTCTCTCTCTCTCACACACACACAGATACACTCTCTCTCACACACACACACTGACACTCACACACACACACAGACACTCTCTCTCACACACACACACACACACACTCTCACACACAAACACACTGACACTCACACACATACACACACACAGACACTCTCTCACACACACACACACTGACACTCTCTCTCTCTCTCACACACACACACACACACTCTCTCTCTGTCTCTCACACA